CCTAAAACATCCCTTATTAAAAACACTTGTGCTTTCGAGAAATTAAATAATCAAAAATTTACCGGTGCTCCGGTAAAGTTGATTTATCACTTAAAAAAGATTGTTGTACTTTATATAAATTCCCGGTTTGGCAAATATTTGTTCTCATAAAAACAACAACGAATTTAGCTAATTTCCATGATGATCACTTGCATTTTCACATCAATTACTCTATGTACGATATTTCTCAGAAATTGCGAGAGGAAAAATGAATTAAAGTAACCCTAAACTCGTTCTGCCACATTGAATTAACATTATTGGGTGAATTTGTTTCAAACCTATTTTCGGGGGACAGCAGCGGCGGCGGCGTCTCCTTCGTCGCCAGGCATCTGTTGAAAAGATATACATATATTTTCTTAAATGTTAATCGTTATATTGAAACATCTATTATATTGTTTAATACTCTATTAATGATAATGATGATAATAATATTATAATAATAATCATAATAATGATAACAAATAACGAAAAAAGCAACAACAGCGATACTGATAGTGAAAAGAATAATGATAATAATAATAATAATGAAAATAAAAATGATAACAATAAGTATAAATAATAATAATTGATCGACCAAACGCTTGGAGTTTTCTTGCTTTGGATCATTTGCGATATACTTTACATTGCACACTCTCCTCTCCCTTGTGCAATAACTACAGATATCATGCTCTATTAATCGAAAAAAAAAGACATCACGGATTAGGCCTCGAGTTTCTTATATTTTTGGTCGGCTGAGTTTGTCTTATTTTCTCATAGGCCTTTGTATCTAACTGATAGACCTGTATTCTCAGAAGAAAAAAAGCTGTACTAAACCATAGCTTCCTAAATTTTGAATACATTTTCAAAAAACGTACTGAGAGAATTACTTTTCAAAATTCGATTGGACTTTCTTACGCTAACTATGAAAAAGAATATTCACCTTTATCTAAAGGAACATATATTTAAATAAAAATTGGTTGCACATAATACTGGTTAAAACATTCCTTTAAAAATTCCACTTCTACTCATCGCGAAACGATTAAAGCTGGATACCGAAATTGTTAATTCGGTGTAACTCCCACATGTACAATTATGACTGAATATTTCATAAATAAACTCACCTGTATTGTCTAAAAATGAAGCAACAATTAAGCAGGTCAAAACCAAAATGGCAAGTTTTGCCATCTTAAAGTGTTGGTACTCCTTTCTTTAAAGCAGTGCATCAAGAGATTCCCACTGATTCTTTGCCTCAAACGTTCAATGGATATCAGTGGCACAAGTCTGATTCGGGGACAGACTAGTACAGGATTTTAAAACATATAGAAGCGTTGGAGAGATCACATGATCAACTAAAAAATCAAAATTTTGATACGACGTATTATGTCTTATGACTATTATGTTCAGAGAGAGGGACGGCTGCCTTCTTATATGGGAAGAATTATCAACTGGCTCTCATAAACAATAATAAAAATGGTAAGCAACTCGGGCGTGTTTGTACGAGAATTATTGTAAACAAATATAATTTCATGTGATCGTAATAAGCGTTATCGCAGAATGCCTACTTAAAGTAACATAAATGCCTGAAGACGGTTTATTGGAAAGCAATAAGTCTACATCTGAGTAAGTTGATTTGATAAAATCTGTAGGGCCATGCATTATGGTTTAGGGCATGGCCACACATAGAATTTTTTCTGTTGGGGTCGGGGCAAAATGCAATGAACTATTGATAATTTATAGCATTTTCTTTGTTTGTCATGAAAACAAAAAAGACAAAAATATTTCAGGTGCAAATTTCTGAATACAGAGTTTATGTATGGTTTTCTCACAAGGAAGTTTTAAGAAAAAAAGTAAAGGATATTAGGAATCATAGGATATATTTGAAAGAGGAAGATGAATTGCTGTCAAAATTGTATGATTGACATATTTGAATTGGCATTACAAGCGATGTAATTAAACCCTATACAAATTTACAAAGAAGTGTTATGTATGTCGTTGTTTTACATTATATGAGACCAGGGATATGAGTTTAATTTGCACATCGTTAGGAAAAAAAAACCTTACCCACCACAGTCCGTGTTATGTGTGTGGCTTGCAATGTCCCAGATTCAACACACTTTCAGTCATGTGCGTGTGAAATGACTGGTATAACCCTTTGCCTACTGGAACCAGTTAGTTATTGTATCAAACTTACCGAAATGAGAACATTCAGAACTCAACTGGTTCAATTCACAGTTTGTCATGGTACTTCATTTCTTATCTTATCTTGTGTTCCTTTTAATGTGTTTTTATGATACATATTATGTCTTGTTTTCTTAAAGAGTTGGCCTCTTTAACACAAAGTTTATTTCCTTTTTGGCAACTGCCTTCCTCGAAAAAAAATGTTTTATTCATCCTATGTATTGTCATACATTTATCTGTTTATTTATGTATTTTGTTATCTGTTGATCTCTTAAGAGAAATAAATGAAACTGAAACTGAAATATTTGAAAACGGAGGATTTGCTATGTATAAAAGTAGTTTTATTTTTCTTGCCTCTATATGGTTCCATTGCCCACATGTTATATTTGCATTCAAATTTAAGAGCCTACCTAAAAGTGTTTCGCGTTATTGACATACTGTAAATTGATAAAATGGGTACCTGGCAAGAATAAATTCATTATGCTAGAGGGCCCCTGGCAGCCTTGTTAAAGCCGGGATTAAAATTGTGGAGCGTAAGGTGTGTCAAGGCTGACAGACATGATCGCTATAGAAGAACCCACTACTATTAGTGACATTATTAGCATTATCATTATTCCTACACGCCTGTTTATACAGTAGAGCGTATTCCGTCATCGATATAGTCCAGAATTGATGATTAAATGATACACAAATTTGTATTACTCTTCAAAAAGATAGATCAGCAGTAGTTACCTAAGGTTTATTGTACAATTAAGAAGCGTTATCCCCGTTGCGTTATTCTCTGCGCTATTTTAAACCGGTAAAGCGAATTAGCCCATAAGCCATTAAACGAACACATAGTGTGCACTTTGCATTTTGCAACTATTTTTTGTACGATGGCACCATCACATGGTCAAAGACCGCGCAAGTCACTCACTCTGCCCTACGTCAGTAAAATAATCATACAGAAATTAAGGACGTCCATTTTCCCGAGGTCCAATTGGTATCTGGAAGCGGAGCGTGTTGGCGCCGCGCCGGTGTAGCCGTTGGACCCTTCTTCGTGGAACATCTTGGACTTGTGCATGATCGTGGACTTGTGGTGATATTTTGTCGAGGTCATAACTTTCTATCGTAAGGTAACACATATCACATTTCCCATCATCTTTCCTATTTATCTTTCTCTCTCACTCTCTCTCTCTCTCTCTCTCTAGCACATCCACCCACACAAAGAAACTAAACTGAATGTTGTAAACATTACAATTTGTTTTTACTAAATCATGTAGATAGATTGGGCAATACAAGTGCGTCATTTGTTATTTGTTTTTTTGTTGTTTATTGCGCAACATACATTATTTTGAACAAAAGTTGGCAGATCTAAGGGGCACGGGGGTACACCTCTGGCAAATTCCAGTCTGGCTCAAGGCTAAAGTACAAAAAGAACGACAGAAACGAGAACAAAAGTGCAGCAATTTGTGTTCGTGTGCCGCCCAGGTTATGTTATAATCCTCTTTGTATGCTCTTCTTTAGAATACTTAATCGACCACTATCAAAAACATAAGAAAACTATAACAAGAAATACTGCAACAATAAAAGTATGGCAATTCATAGCGAGCGATACATTTAATACATAACCATTCTTCAATAAACTGTTCACAATGAAATTTGTCGGGGAGGGTCCCCGAACTTTGCAAAGATCCAAACTTTTGATGGCCAGTGTTTTCAATACTATTTCAAAGTTTTACAATAAGTTATTTTCTCTGGTTGTTATTTATTGTTTCGTCGTACGTTGATATTATTTCATAACTTGCGTTAATAAATTCCTAACGTGCCGAGTACAATAGACCAGTTCACGGTTAGCACATTACTGATTGCAATGACCCCGAATATCCACAGATCTTAAAACATGAAGATAGGTCCTACTTTTACATATTGAAATAATCACTCCTACAACGATGGAGGTGCTATATAAATAGCCTTTGTTTCCCCTTTTCAAAGAATACTTATACCTGTGTATCATAGAGTGCACTGAATGTGCATGAATGAATAATGTTACATAACTTTCATGAGCACGTATACGTATCCAGTATTTCGTCTCGTCTCCGTGTATTTCAAAATGTGTTCTGCAATGACCTTTATCTGCTCATGCTCAGACTGCAACCGTGAACTGGTTACCATACATAGATTCATCTGCGGCACGATTGGCTTTTTCGAGGGGTAATGAGGAGAGGAAGTACTACCAAGAAGTTACCAGCAAGGTTACAATCATTTACCAGGTACACGCACGCCCAGGGCGGGAGAAAAATCACCATCAACCTGCAGCATTATTAGCTATTCTATACACCGATTCGGTTTGGGGGTTTTATGTACCTGCCCGCCGGTGGCGGCGCTATAACTGGGGGGCTTCTCCGATCCAGCTGACAGTACAGAGAGCTCGAGAGCGGTTACTATTGGGATGTATTTTACAAAATGAGCCTACTCTTGTTGTCGGCGGTGAATTTGGCAATCTGATACCCCCCCCCCCCCCTTTTTTTTTTTGCAATGTAAGCTAGCTAGCTGCAGTCAGACGCCCCCCAGTTATGGCGTCACCTTATGAGGGCGCACTTCCACCAGAAGTCGCCCGAATCGGTGTATACTCCTCTCTCGAGCCCACACAAACCGTTTGATTGTGTCGCTTGTGGATGAAAAAACAGATTGAGTTTAGCATGAAGCATACAACGAATACTCTTACCAATACTACTACTACTACTACTGCTGCTGCTACTGCCATTACTACTACTGCTGCTGATGTTTTTATACTTATTTTGTATAATTATTCTAGTGGGACATAGAGATAATTATATATATATTGAAATACGATTAAAATATGCAAATTTCCAAAACACAATTGCACCTAGTTTGCCGTCGTTACAGTAATTTTATTAGGGGAAAAAATGCAATTCCGTATTTACAAGTCCTTAGCAGTAGATACCATTAGGCCTGTCTCCACATGGAACAGCCATCGATGTTCATTTCAGCAAGATATACACAAATACAGATCTACAAATACATGTTTATGTTTCCTTTTGAGATGTGCTTGTTGTTTCTTTCCAACTACGAATCTGATTGCAAAGGGATGTCTGTTGTTTCGGCGATTGTATGTATTTCGTTTGTTGGCCACTGAAATATCAACAATAAAATATCATGTAATCGTTATTATTTTTCGTATCAGTTAACAATAATAATGAATTGAAGGAGTTAAGTGTGAACGTCTGCGAGAGGGATGTCACATTAGTAATGTAGAACAAACAAAAAATGTTTAACGACTTCAACCCCCCCCCCCCCCACACACACACACACATAGTCAGACGTTCACCGTTGTCCATAAAGTTGGAATATATTTGTCTTATCTCATTTCATGTACTGATTATGGCACTCTGGTTTATTCCAGATATATCTTCTCATAACTTTATTGATTAATCTATGTGACTCTTTAGATTGATCTATAAAGTTCTGAGAAGGTATAAACTTAATATATCCACTATAAACAATGTTGTCACAATCACTTTATGAAAAGAGGTAAGAAAATTCTACCAACTTTATGGGCAACAGTGTTAAAGGTTGAACATATCAAGATACTATTAATGATAAAGTGCATCGGTGAAGATTTGTATTTTTTCCGTAAAATTGTATATTAAACAAGTCAGAAGTAATACCCAATGTTAGTCACACCGCCAAGACCGACAGCGGCCCAAACTCAATTAGTACATACAACCAAAATGCGTGTAAGACCCATGGTCTACTGCATGTCCGAATCCCCATATTGGTAAATGTACATGTCTACTTGAAATGGACTCATAAAAGTCCTATTCGAAACATGAAATTATAGTCGTAATTTATTGATTGCCTTATTATACATTATAAGTCGGTATATATCCATGATCAGGTGATCTGGGCCCCGTCTTGATATAAAGAGTTGCGATTGGTCTGAATCGATCGCAAGTTTGTATTCTCCTATATATCTCTTAAGTACAAAGTAGCAATTGATATCAATTGCAAATTAGTTGCGGTTAATCGCAAATGTTTATAAGATGGGGTCAATTAAGGATCTACTAGTGGCTCTTCTACATAATTAGATCAGAGATATAGGCTATACTTACCTTATTTTAAGGTCTCATAATCAGATTTACTAGTCTTCCCTCTGCACAATTCTATAGGAAACATGAATCCATCCTGCAACCAATATCAATTAGAAAACGGGTATTTAAAACATTTCCAAACCTATGGACTATAATATTATGTGCATACTTGAAGATTACAGTTCTGTTGTGATTACATAGAGATAAGATCGAGAAATATATTTGCCAATGGTTAGGCCATGTCGAGTTATTTTCACTAAGACCTTCGCAAAATCCACTCAGGGCAATTTCAGCAGGTTAATACCTTGTGCGACATCCACTGAATTGTGCAAAGGTTGCATTGGCGTATGATGATGATGATGATGATGGTGATGATAATGATGATGGTGGTGATGATGATGATGATGATGGTGATGATGATGATGATGATGGTTATGATGATGATGATGATGGTGATGATGACGATGATGGTTATAATGATGATGATGATGATGGTGATGATGATGATGAAGATGGTGATGATGATGATGATGATGGTGATGGTGATGATGATGGTGATGATGGTGATGATGATGACGATGACGATGATAATAGTAATGATAATGATACCATGTCCAAATACTCTAGACCAACCACGCCACCTCTTCAAGTCTTAATTGTGATCGTGCTTTCTACATGTTTGGTGAAATGAATTGAAATTAGGCAATTAGGACTTAGCTATATCTATGGCAACTAGGCACCGGGATCCAAAGTCAACTCTTATTACATATATTTTAGGAATACACCGCTAAAAAATAACATGAATTCACATAAAGAACTAAATCATAATAACATGTCTAACATTAATCTGATTCAATTTCGCATGCAAGCGCTGGATTCGAATTTCTGTTATCATCCATGCTATAGCAGAAATAAATCCGCATAAAAGAGCTTTTGGAGTTGATGCGAGTAACATGAAACTTTATCTTCGGTAGTAATCTTCATTTAAAAATTCATCGTCAATTTCAAAATAAATTGTCTCATGTTCTAAAGCTTAATCCCTGTATTATAGACATACAAATTAAAAAGAAACAGAACTCGGAATTGAACGATATTTCAGATTATTCATCTAAAACGCAGAACAGATGTATATATATTTTTAGCATGTGTTTCATTAGACTATTCACCCACCTTGACTAACGCAGGAAAGTCCGACCAGAATCCATAGTTTGGAATCAGCTCTTTACCCGTCGCACCTCGACGAAACTTCTGATACAGGATCCCTCCAATGAGGTAAACAAGAACCAATAGTGCGAATCTGTCATAAGTGAAAGGGTAGTAGAGAGACTTAAATAATATTGGACCATCTCTTTATATTGGGATACCAGTATACAACAACGATATATGAGACTAGGCTCTTCAATGGACACTTACAAATTTACTTATTTCCCCAGGACACTTAAGGACTGGGACGAGCTACCTCAGATCATCGTCGAACTGCCTTCTTTGGAGCAGTTCAAGGTGGCTCTTGAATCAATTTAGTTCCCTTTTCAGGAACTGTACCGCATAGAGCTGTATATAACAACTCTATGCTTTACCCTCATCTAGATGCTGAACAGGCGTGGATGAGTATTACTATAGAAGTAGAAGTAGACCAGTACAACTACAAACACCTGTAACAAGATGCTCCTAACACAAAAAACAGTACTGCAAATCTGCAATGAGCAGATAGCCGAAAATGTAGAGAGATAGATATAGTTAAGGGGTTACAGTGGATGTCTACGTACATTTAGAGCGTGGTATAGCGGTTCGTTCATTTGACTCTCAATCTAAGGGTTAAGGATTCGAATCCCAACCCAGCACTAATGTATTTTGGCGAGAGATTTATCGGCATTAGTCACTCTCCTCGAAGGTGTATAATAAGTACCTAGCCGAGGTGTTAATAATTGCAGGGCCCGCGGGAAGAGCAGTATTAATACTGATGTGGCTACCCTGGGTAAATAAAACCGACTTGTTGATATCATTATGATGATTAGTATTTGTATTATTTGTATTATAATTATTATCATCATCATTATTATTATTCACATATTATTCATTATTACATGAATTACTTTTCTTCGTAGGTTGGATAAAACCGTTGCTCAGTTGTGCAGCCACATACTCATAATAAATGAAAACTTTTGTCTACTTACATAATACATACAATTCCTCCAACGGTGATTTCTGTCCCGCCAACTGGATAGCAGTTTGGTATGTCCTTCAGACATGCCAGGCAAGTACCAATTGTGAAGTGCTACATTCATAGAGAAAAACAATGAAACAATTATTTATAGTTGCGGTATTATGATCATGCTGATGCTGAGAGATATACAATGTTGATGATCATGCTAAATATGAGAATGGTTTCCCGTTTTTTTCTTCATTGGATCGATTTAACTGGTGAGAAACATGATTAAAAAAACAACACCATTATGACCCAAAGCTGAGCACGTACTTCGAGGATAAATATATGGACAAATGCAAACCGTCAGAGTTAACGAGTAGAAGAGACGGAGCTTTATAAAACATTCTTTAATACATATTAATATAGATATATATATATCGAGAGAGAGGGGGAGATAGAGAGAGAGAGAGAGAGAGAGAGAGTGAGTGAGAGAGACAGAAAAGGAATTCCTTGAATGCTGTGAGCGCCGAAATCGGCAGCCTAGTAGAGCCGGATAATATTCAGAGCGCCTTGAGCACCTTGCATGGTGGATATGTGAGAATGATTTCCTGTTTTTTTTCATTGGATCGATTTCACTGGTAACACCATCAATATGATTTTTTTTAAAACAACAGCATTATGACCAAAAACTGAGCGAGTACTTCGAGGATAAATTTATGGACAAATGCAAACCGTCAGAGTTAACGAGTAGCAGAGACGGAGCTTTGTAAAACATTCTTTAACGAACATTAATATATATATATATATATATATATATATATATAGTGAGGGGTGTGTGTTTGTTTATATGTTAGTGAGAGAGAGAGAGGGGGAGGGAGGGAGATATATATATATATATATATATATATAGAGAGAGAGAGAGAGAGAGAGAGAGAGAGAGAGAAGTGAAGATATTAAAATACTTCATACGTCCATTCAGAGACAGAGCCGATCAGACAATTTCCCGTTTTAATTGTATACTGCTTTATGAGTCGTTTGGTCAGATATGTGAGCTACTTAAGTCTGATGTTTAATAGTTGATCCCTTTTTTTCTTCACTCTAAACTGATTTTCTATAGGGATTAGAATGTCACTTTGAAATGTAGTTTATAAGATTTCGCAACGTGTACCCCCCCCCTCCCCACCCTCCCCCAATTTGGCATATAGGTATGCGCAAACAAAAATTGTTCGTAGGTGGGCCCTTCACACAAGTTTCGGACAAAAAGTCGTTCGGACAAAAAGTCACTTGAGGAGTACCTTAATTTTCCTTGTAGCATGTTTTCCTGACTTGTGATCCCGCCATTGCGAATAATTATTGTTTTGTCGTTTAAATAACCTTGGTGTGTACTCACATAATTTCCAGGTGTTTGTTCACCTAGGGGCTCATACGTTGCCGCTGTTAAGGCGCTTTCATCGCAGTGAAAGTTAACGACTGCTAACCTGTTGGGGGGGGGGCAAACCAGATACCATTATTCTAGGGGTACTCTTTTAATTTCTCACACTCTACTTTTTAGAGATTAATTTCGTAGTTTTGTGTTTGTTTACATAGTATGTGATTGATGCATATAACTCCAGTAATATATGAATAGGGGATATATATAATATCAATAGTACTTCTAGTGGTGATGATCATAATAATAATGATAATAATAATATAAACCAAAAAAAATAACATTGATAATAATCATGATTACAATAAAAATTATAAAAAAATTATAATAAAAAAAATTGATAATAAAAGTTGTAATACAAATATTTATACCGATGATAATAATTATAACAATAATCACAAAAATAATAACAATAATTATTATATTAATAATACTTATGATAATAATAATAACAATAATAATCGAGTATTTGATATATATTAAACTGAGGAAAGACGTGTAGATGGCAGCATTTAGATTTGAAAACCATGTTTGGTGCATCTTTCAATCCATGGGTGCAGTGACGTACTGATCGGCGCAACCTGATTTTTTAAATCTATATGTATGTTGCACAAGCGGTGTCATTTCGATTGCGTTATTTACTGCGTTAATTGATCATTTCGATTGCGTTATTAAATGCGTTAATTGATCATTTTGATTGCGTTATTAACTGCGTTAATTCGTCATTTCGATTGCGTTATTAACTGTGTTAATTGATCATTTCGATTGCGTTATGAACTGCGTTAATTCCTCATTTCGATTGCGTTATTAAGTGCGTTAATTGATCATTTCGATTGCGTTATTAACTGCGTTAATTCCTCATTTCGATTGCGTTATTAACTGCGTTAATTCTTCATTTCGATTGCGTTATTAACTGCGTTAATTCTCCTTTTCGATTGCGATATTAACTGCGTTAATTCGTCATTTCGATTGCGTTATGAACTGCGTTAATTCGTCATTTCGATTGCGTTATTAACCGCGTTAATTCGTCATTTCGATTGCGTTATGAACTGCGTTAATTCGTCATTTCGATTGCGTTATTAACTGCGTTAATTCGTCATTTCGATTGCGTTATGAACTGCGTTAATTGATCATTTCGATTGCGTTATGAACTGCGTTAATTGATCATTTCGATTGCGTTATGAACTGCGTTAATTCCTCATTTTGATTGCGTTATGAATTTCGTTAATTCCTCATTTCGATTGCGTTATTAACTGCGCAAAGAAGCCTTCAAGGCTATGAGACAATATTCGCCAGCCTTTCAAAACAATGATTGTACTATATCCATTTTGCATTCAAAATTTTGAAAACATTAGTCTCATAGTCTCATATGGTGCGTCAAATGCCACGCTGGTCACTGACACACAAAGAGATTCTATCATATATTTTAGGTCCGAATTCACAAAGGAGGTTTGTCGACAAACCTAGGTTTACGTGCGTCATATTACGCGTTTCAACGCGTTTCAAAACAAACCTCCTTTGTGAATTCGGGCCAGTATGTCCACCGAACGAGCTGACGCAGTCCTACGCCAGGCAAATGACGCCACATGCGCAAAGGGCTTAAATGCTCAGTGTGAGCATTTCATACCTGCCACTAACTTCTGCATACGTCAAGACTATGTCAGAATCTATCACTTCAAAAGCAATAACATCCGGGTCACCAATTGGGTAAGAATGCAGCTCATCATTTGACACTTGGCATGCCTAGAAAATAAAGATAAGTTTTTGGACAATGCCAAATATGTTCAAAAGAAACTACTTCGGGAAGAACAAAAATGAGATGGCAAAATCAATATGCACACTGTACGCAATCTATCGAAAGTGGGGGTCTATCAGAAAATATTTGTCCAAGGAAATGCTAAGGTATTAAAATAATTATCTAATAATACTAATGATTTATTTTGATCAAAACAAGGAAATACACAAGAAGGACACACTGTATTAGATAACTTTATAGTAAGAGCATAATACAAATTCAGTTTTGTTTCTTTCTTTTAAGTCTTTATCCTTTCCCTTATGTTTGCGGTCTCACAAAATGTAATGTTAGGATTCGGTTGGTTCGGTTTGCATGCCCAGTTATAAGGTAAACGCATTGAAAATCCGATCTGTTGCATTTTATAATGATTTTTTTTTTCTGTCTTTCTTGATTTCTTTCTTTCTCAACCCCCCCCCCCCCCTTTTTTTTTATAAATAATTTCTTCACATGTCACATGGAGGGAATCGGCAAGGATTTAGTCTCCTAACTAACTTATGGAAAAATCTTTACCAACATTTTAAGAAGCATCGTTCAACCATAGCCAGATACACTTACAAAATGTATAGAATACATGTACATGACTAGCATGCCATGATTTGATAGATTTAATGTATATTACGGGCTAGAGTTTCTCAGTTCGGCGCTGATTTAACTGAGACAAATCTTGACGAGTTTTTATTGCCTATGCTTTTTTCTATAGCTATTTTTTTTAAATATTTGTTTCTTACCGCAGTATTTGTGGTGCAAAACCCGTCGTGGAATGGATGACATGGGTTGTATGCGTACTTGAAATCATCGTTTGGAGTTTCTTTGTAAGCAAATCTAGAAGATAAAGAAGATAACAGGAATCCCTTAAAACTGGAGAGGATTAGCATTGGCGTGTCCAGAAATATAACATGTAGGGCAGGGGCGTACGCAGGATTTTCTCAAGGGGGGGGGGGGGGGGGGGGGGGGGGGTAAGCGGACACTTTTTTTTGGGGGGGGGGTCTCGAAATTTGAAAATTTTTACATTTTTTTTCGTTGGGGGGGGGGGGGTAAGGTCACTTTACGTTAGCCGTGGGCATTTTTTTATTTTTTTTATTTAAAAAAAACAACAACAAAACAAAGTTTTTTTATAGTTTTTTTAGGGGGGTTTACACATATAAAAATACCAAAGGGGGGGTTGAACCCCCAACCCCCCCCCCTGCGTACGCCCTGATGTAGGGTTGGAACATCCTAACGGCACCCCAAAGCTAAGGGCGTGAACAGGAAATGCTTCTTGTTCTAGACACCTTTATAGACATTCTCTCAATATGAGCACCAACTCAGCGGAGTTAAATTTTCAGCTTCTGCTTGGGCCTGCAAATGGGGGAGGGGCTTCGCCTTCCCGCGATCAACTAGTTGACACTAGGCCTCTCATCATCAGCTCGAGATTGCCAAATAACCCGCTATTTTAATTATCCCGATCGCAAATTATCCAGCTAATTTGCGAAGTATGTGTTTACAAACTTATGATTGTCAATTATATGTTGTTCATGTGTTGAAGCAAGATTGCTAATGTAAATTTAAACAATTATCCTATATGGACACAATAAAGAAATGAAATGAAATGAAAGTCTTCATCAGTCCGCAGTTGCAATCAGCGGGATATTTGGTCGAGATAATCATCCCAAGATATCTTGGGCCAGTTTGCAAAATATCCCGCTATTTGTCCGGTGCATCTACATCGCGGCCAGCCCGAAGACTTGCGAACGCTGAGCAAAATATTTCGAGCTAATTTCGAGCGATTTGTAACTTCGGGCTTATTTCCGAAATCAAAAATAGCGGGCTATTTGGCAATCTTGATCTGATCTCGTTTAAACTTGGTAACTCCGTCGAACTACCGACTTCATATCGACTGCAAACAAACCGATTCTCGGCCAATCGGTATTTTTTGTTCTGTCTCTGGTCGGCCTCGTTGGTGGGACCGGGTTATTTCCTTTACAAATCCATCCACAAGTTAATTGCCGCTGAAACTGACCACTACCGAAACAGGTCTTCTGGAGTAGGGGTATCTACAAGAATACGGTCTTCAGTATCATTCAAGAAGTTATCCGCTGTAAAGGACTGTTATAAACACTCTCTATATCCCAGGACATTCCCCGAATGGAACTTTCTCCCGACCCATGCTAGAAATACCCCCACCCTTGGAGCCTTTAAAGATACCTGACAAAAGCTCACCATGGGTGAAATAATTGCTAGAGCCCACTTTAGAAAATAAGATACTATGCTCAGTCGACTGCGCCTGCATGTTACATCCCAGCTGAGCCCACCAGAACAAGAACCAGAAGGACCATGCAAAAAAAATGGTGCTTGTTTTTAGATACAGGTCTGACTGTGCATGCATATACACATATTTACCCTGCGTGTTTAATAGGCACTGCTGGAATTTGCATTAATAGACGGCATATAAAGTGAAATCTCGGTCTTTGCTATCATCGAACATTTCGATTTGCACCGACTTGTTCATACCTATTATTTAATATGCAAACTGACTTTGTTCGTTGTATATGTCTCTGCTTATAATACTCCAGACGCAGACAAAGATTGTACAATGTAAACGTTTCTATTCGAAAGTCCAACGTTCATTTCACTTATTTCCTTCCTTTACAGGGTGGCTTAATAAAAGTCGAAAGGCAAACTTCCAATAATAGAAGTCGGATCTACCGGCACCAGCAGAAGGAGTATCTTTTCACATTACAAATTATACCAAGATTAACAGATTTTAATATGAGGTTCTTGTTTTAGGAAGCATTACGTGACTCAACGTAGGAGTTCAGATTTGTCCAGTTTCTAAATGATCAATGAATCCGCGTTTTAAACCATTCGTATAATTTCATGTCTGTGTTTTAAAAGCCATTAAAAACATCTGAAAATATAAAATGTTTTTGGAATATTACGCTAATGTTTAATCCAAAGTTTATTGAAGTTTGCCCTAATCTCAAGCCTTATACTACTTCAGACATTACACAACGGCATGTTATTTTCTACAAGGAGCACTGCTGGTGGATGTCTTCAATATTGTTGCAAAAAAAAATTGGTCTAGAAAAAGAAATACTGCACCGATGTTGGTAAATGTGGTACCCTTTTTCTTCTTAAAGAGTTCCCCTTCTACTGGTTACCGAGACGTTGTGTGTCCGAACAGGTTGTGTATCCGGACAGTCGATTTTAAAGCGCAGTTTGAAGAGGTTCACAAGCAATATTTCATGAATTTTCTAAGACTTAATATGTTTGACGATATCATATAAGACAAATATACATGATGGTTAGTGGAATTCGATTCATGAAATCCGAAGGGAAAAGAGAAGGCTTTATTTTTTGTGAAGGGTCCGGACACACAGCCTCTCTTCCATAATATTAAGATTTGTGCCACATTATTGGAAGTGTGCTAGTCCGCAGTTTTGTTGTCACCCTGTATATCACTATGTAAATATGTATCTTGCCATTTATTTCGTATTGATATCAAGGAGAAGTGTTTTGTGTAAATAAAAGACCTACCTTTGACTTAAAATCAGATATTTATCAATATGTAAATATGTATTCTACCATTTATTCCGCGTTCATATAGCTGTGCACTTTATACATAATTTTGCAGAAACCTAAGATCTAGAAGACTAAATCATCCACTTTGTCTTCATATTTGCTTCGCTTTAAATATGATTTGTTTCCTTTCTTTGTGTATGAATGTTACCCAAGGATTTGATAAAATAAAAATGTTTATTATCATAATAGTTGTCTTTATTTATGACACATGTTAAGTATGCCAATGACGTTCAATTTAAAAAAAAAATCGACTTAAAAATTACAGAGGAAAATAATTGAACTTGATCGTGGACATCGTTTTAGTAACATGTGAAGTACGAGGCAACGGTAATATTTTATTTACATGAATTATGAATCTGATGTTAAAAAAGATTAGGTTTTAGTTATATCAATCTATATTAAGCAAATCGGTAAAGTTTTGATAAATATAAGGAAAACCTTTGGCATGGTCTGGTCATGGAGCGATACTAATCAATGATTTGTCTATCAGTTATTTAAATTCGGAATGAAAAATACATCAAGAGAAGCGAAAAATCAAGTGCTGTATAAATCGGAAATAATTTAACAGTAGCAACCAGGCTTAGTCCTTTGTAAACATTAATACACACTCTTCTCTGCGACTTATATTCGCTATATTATTAGTATGCTCTATATCGAAATCAGTAACTTACGCTGGTTTGCCATCGCTTCTGCCGAGCGGGCTAAAGTCGATGTTTCGATATGTCGGCGGATCTCCCCCATCGCTGTACCGACAGTGGCAATTGTTGACCGGTCCAATCAATTTATCACATGACGGTTCACTTCCGACAAAGCTCAAGAAACCAAGCAGGGCTATCAAGCCTACAGGTATGACACTGCTACTAGAAGGCTGCATTGCTGTACGTGTAGTCGTTGCACAAACTTTACACGTGGGAAGGAACTTTAATCTAAGGTTTTGAGAATATGGGTCAACAATGCACGAACTGATATCATAAACCATTACATGTACTATAATATGGAAAATAATATGGCTACTAATACTATACTTTATCCGTAATGATTAATAAATTTGGCATTATTACTATAATCATGTGATCATATTATTTACCCCTTGATTTACAATCCTCATGTGACTGAATGATTATCGGCGTATATGGCTGTGTATTTTGGGGCATGACCGGGACCCTGGCGGGGAGTATTTATAGGCAGTGGCGTACGCATGATTTTTTCAAGGGGGGGGGGGGGGGGGGAGGGGTTAACATTTTTAAATCGGGCCGAAAATTTCGCAACGCCTCGGCCAGCCGCTGAATAAGCGAGGGGGGGGGGGGGGTATGAGCACTTTTTTTGGGGGGGGGGGGAGTCCCAAAAATTTTGCAACGACTCAGGGGGGTGGTTAAGGTTAGTTTTGGGGGGTTACCCTTTGGTACAATTTTTTTTTTCTTTTTAAAGGGAGGGGGGTTTTCATCAAAAATCACACACATACAAAAAATGAAAGGGGGATGTTCAAACCCAACCCCCCCCCCTCCTGCGTACGCGCCTAATTATAGGAATCACATTCGAGGAAAATGAGACAGAGGGAGGGTGAGAGGGTGCGTAAAGAGCCTAATCCGCCCCTTTCACTCGAAATTTTATGTATGCTTCTGTGTTTGCGTGCCTGTAAAATAGTTTTATTTGAGTAATTGAGTCTGCTCTGTATCTACTTGGTATTTGTTTTGTTGTTTTTTCTCTCTCTCTCTCTCTCTCTCTTTCTCTCTCTCTCTCTCTCTCTCGTCTCTTTCAGGGCCATTCCTCATAAGCATTTGCTTGTCTATAGACCTTTTCCATATCTCGTATTGTATTTTGTATTATTGTGTGTATGTTCGTATGGTTATGGTTAAACAAAATATCTTGAATATTGAATAATTCAAACAGGAACCATAATTACGTTAAAAAAATAGCAATCAATTTAAAAAGGATACTCAATTGGCGGACAACGGAAATACCCCAAGCAGATGCATTATTCTAAAAATTACAGATGTTCAACAATTACTTGAAATCGAACATCTGAAGAAAAGAAAACCTAATCAGACTCTTCGGATCAATTACCAAAAGGAAGTTTCGGTGAGTATGAAAGAAAACAAACGAAAATCCGCCAAAAGAGTAACACGAACTTTCTGGGGCAAAAGAGAAACTGAATACCTTGACTACTTTCTCGTATCCAACATTCTATACAATTTTATAAGATGTTTTAAATGTTAAAAAATATCATATTTCTATTTATTTGTGGAATTTGGATAGTGTAAAATCATCTAATTCGTTTTTAAAGTAGTATTTTAAGCATAACCTTCTGAATGATGGATTGTATTTTTCTGAATATTCCCATATCAATATCTCATGCAATCACCTAAAAAGCCATCCTAAAGCCTTATTTTTGGTTTTTGTCACTCCTGATTTTTCTTCTAATACTAGTTCTTCCTCTTTTCCCACTCCTTTTCTTCGTTCCCATTTCCCTTTATTTTCAACATCCCTCTGTTACTCTTGTTATTATATCGCTGTTTGAGATATTCTTCTCTCTCTCTCTCTGTTTGCTCGCTTTCTCCTCGTCATTTTCCATCTTCATCTTTGGTACTGTTTTCCGTTCCGCTATTATTCCGAAAGTATTCCTTACGATCTTGAGATCAGTAAACTATTATACCATAACCTCGATAGAAGGAGAAGGAAAACACAAAACGAGTGCCTGATGATTTCGAAATGAAAAGAATATTACTGTATAATAATTATAAAAAGTAAAACTTTTCAATGTAAATCTCTGTTGCATCAAAATGATATGAAAAAAGTTCATTGTACTGATATACGTCGGACATTTATACTTTAGCGAAAAAATATACACGAACAAAAAAGAAAGAAAAAATGGACATATGCTTATGAAAAAACCCGATTATAATGAATAATATGAAAGTATAAAATAAACAGGAGCAATTAATAATGTTAGTTTATACTTTGCACGATTGGAGAAATAAAGTATCTTGAATCTTAATCTTGAATCTTGTGCAAGTGTATTGATTTATTTTAATAAGATTTTGTTAATGGTGTGAGCAAAATTAACGCAAATTTCTAAACGAATGTCAATGATTTGTTACCTTCCTTCCATTACTCCCCCTCACTTTTAGCCGTTATTTCAGAGGCGGAACTACCTGGGGGGGGGGCACTGTTCCCCCACTTGTTCAGGTACCCCTAAAAGGGCCCTTTTTACATAAGAAAAGTGCCCATTTTCTTTTCTAATAACTGTCCTTTTCCTCTCTTTTCATCTCTAATGAGTATGTCTTTTCAGGTGCGAGAAATTCCCCTTTTCACCTCTGATATTTTTGCCCTTTTTTAGTTTGACTCGTGCCCCTTTTCCTTCGTAATAAGAACCCCTTTCCCTTTCTCTTAACTGCCACTTTCTACCTCTTATAAGTGCCCATTTTACTCTGACACGGGCACCTTTTCTTTTCTAACAACTGTCATTTTCCCTTTTGATAAGTGCCTACTTTTCCTTTCTCCATAACATGCACCCCTAATTCAAGGCGACTTGGAGCCTCTTTTCCTTTAATTTTTCCTGGAGATCGCTCGCTACGCACGCTCGCATTTTTAATTATGTTTTTTACTAAAAGAACTTTTTCAGTCTTTCTTCATTAGATTGTGCTTAATACTCATCAGGGTTTGTTTTTTGTCTTCTTTTTAAGATTTAATTTTTCAAACTACCTACCTGTTACCTGGCTACCTGGCTGCCACCGTCAGTTGCTGGCGATTGGCGACCACATCTGCACATCTTCTTGTTGTCTTTCTCCATTTTTTCTATCCTGTGCAAATCTTTTGGCTTCTGAATATGTGAGACCTGTCCATTCTTTGATGTTATCGAACCACTGCTTTCTCTGTCTGCCTCTTTTTCTTTTTCCTTCTACTTGGCTTTCTATTATTTGTGCTGCTAACACATTACTCTATCATGGCTTTTTAGGGTAGAGAGAATGATAATTCAAAATTAAATCGTATTTTGTCCAGGAACCATGTTAATGTCCTTTTTTGACACTACTTTTTAATAGCCTAGACAGAGAATAACCCAGCGTGATATATCAACATGACATATTTCTTTGGTACTACCATACTCTCTTTTAATAGTAGATAGTGTGTTATGACACTGCACATTTCCCTGTTATGTCTATCCAAAAAAAAGAGAGGATGTCATTTCAAGTCAAATCGTTTTTTCTTTCTTTCCAGGCAGCATATAAATTGTCCTCTTCTTTCACCACTTCTTTTTAAATAGCATAGATAAAGTATTATCCCAAAAAATATATTGAAAGTTTATATTTCCATGGTACTACCACACTCTATTTATGCTACATAGCGTATCATTACACTACACTCTATCACGTCTATTAAAGGAAGAGAGGAATATCATTTCAAAGGCTCTTAGATCAGTGATTATAAATGGGCAGCATTGCTTTTTATGTTTGTGTTTCATACACATTGTGTCATAAAAATATTTCAGTACGACTTTCAGATATATTATTAGATTATCATTTTACACCATATGTGAGCTGTTTGCCTTGGAAATCGACACAATTTAAAGAAAATTGATAATAATCTATATTTGATACTGTACTCAACTGCACGACATCAGTACACTGGCTTGAAATCTTGTATACATAACTTGATATAGTACCGCGGTCAATGAGAAAAGCACAATGAAAAGAATGAGAAGCGGGAAAACAGAGACAGACAGAGAGAGAGAGAGGGGAAGATAATTAGAGGAAGAACAACAAAACAGGTTTAAAAAAAAGAACTGGGAAGTACGAGAAGGAGTGTATGTGTTTCTCTGTGTAAATGTATGTGTGTTTGGGTGGAGTTCTGTCTAATGAGAGAGAGAGAGATAAAGAGAGAGAGAGGGGGAGACAGAATGAGACATAGAGAGAGAGAGAGAGAAAAAAGAGAGAGAGAGAGAGAAAGAGAGAGAGAGAGAGAGAGAGAGAGAGGGAGTGGGGAAGACATAAGAAGAAGAGAGAGAGAGAGAGAGGAGAGAGAGAAATATACTGGGGCGGGGAAAGGCGGGGTTCAAGATTCATGTACAACTTCAGTTGTGTGCGATGATCTGAAAAATCTTTTGCGAGCGAGCGAATAAAGTTTTAAGGTCGCAAGGCAAATGAATAGGCAATATTAATTAAAATAACCAACTCTGACGGGGTTTTAAGCACAATATCATGATGACAGAATGATTAAAACATTGATCATTTTATATAATTAAGTAAAATTTTGACACGAGCGATCGGAGCGAGCGAACTTTGGGAAATATGTTAGGGAAGTTAATTTGAGAAAAGATGACAATGGTGGCAAAAAATATCACGTAACAGCAAGTATTGTAATCATGTTGCTTTCAAACACGATTGACATTTCGTGTGCAAATGCAGTTACGATGAGTCATAAAACCCCTCCATTGTCTAAACCTATATATTGAACAAAATGGCATTTGATTATTTTGGATTGTGATCGGATCACATGTTCCAACGATGCAGCATGATTACAATTGTGAAAATGTGGGGTTATGTTCCCTAACGGGCAAATTTGTTTGGCAGAATGTATGACAAAACCTTTCTTGAAAAGATGTTTGCTAATTATATGTATAAATTCGGCCCATTCTGTGTATTGTTTTTCTTAAAGTGTATGAAGAGTGAATATTCCGAAGTCTCCCTTTGTGTCAGCGTAATTTTGCTGATGATAACATGTCTCCTTTTAGTTATATACATCTTCCCATATATATAGTGTACATAATTACATAGAAGGGCTGACGTCACTCATACGATTATATCACTTACGTTTACACATTATCGTAGGAAAATGTAATTTGTCACCAATTTAACATACTAGACAAGATATAGAAACTACAAAGAGACCACCTTACTACACGGACATGTCTGATATGAGGCGGTAAACACTGGAATTGTTATTAGATTGTTAGACACGAACCTATTTGCTATGATCATTACTTTTCCAAGGTAATTTAATAGCTTATTCACCTATTAAAATGTGTGAACATGGCAATGACGTATTACATATTCAAAACACGATTTCTATGGGACTCACAATAGGATATTGAAATTGCCATTGAGTTGATTTTTCAAAAACATTTGCGACCTGTGTGACCCAAATAGTAATAATATTCAACGCATAAAGATGTATGAGGTTGACCTCCAAAAACCACGAGCCTATTTCATAAAACGTGTCAGCTGCTTTAAATAATTGCATTTGATTGGCTCTGAGTGAATAACGTCAATGGGTTTTGACACGTATGAAACAGGGCACTGGCGTGTCTGAGATTCCCAGGATTGTGCAATGTGCCAGGAAGGCTCAATATAAATTATAACCCAACTATTGCACTCGATAACAGAGCTGAACAAACTTACGCTGCGACATTACTTCACAAATTTGTTTTCCGGAGCCGAAACACGTATTGCAGCTGCATTATACTCGAACATTAGAATTGCCAATAAATAAATGGCGGCCCAAAGTGTGGAGAACCTCAATGAGAAATTGGTCTGTGCAGTTTGCCAGAATACTCTCAAGAATCCGAAACTTCTTGCATGCTTTCATGCATTCTGTGAGGAGTGTTTGAAACAGAGTGATCAAATAGAAGTGTGTTCAGGTGGGCTGAAATGCCCAGAATGTAGCAAGGTGATGGATCTTCCAGGAGAGGGCGTGGCAGGACTAGATTGGAATCCACTGGTTTGCAGGCTAGTCGAAGTGCTTGAGGCAAAGAAGAAGGCGAGCCAAATCATGTGTGATGCATGCGGAGACAGCGAGTCACCTTTGACAACCTACTGTCGAGACTGTTTAAGTTTCATCTGCGACTCATGTGCTTCTTACCATGGAAAAATGAAACTCTTGCTGCAGGACCACCATACAGTTCCCCTGGACAAGATTATCAACGGGACTATCAAAATCAAATGGATGGAAGAGGGCTTGTGGAGAAAGGCACACGAGTGCGGAGAGCATATCGGTGAGCTGCGGAGATTCTACTGCAGAACATGCAAGAAACGTATCTGCAGGGACTGTATCGTTCTCGACCATACCAAACCTGACCATGACTGCACCACAGTGCAAAAGATGTTTCAGGAAACAAAGGAGAAGGTAAAAGATCGTTCGAAAAGCTGCAAAGAAAAGGAGGAACGTGTGAGCACCATGTTAAATGATGTGGATGTACGAAAAATAGGAGCAAACCAGAATTTTCATCTGATGAAAAAAAGAATTCAGGACCTAAAATCAATGGCTGTTGCAAATTTGAACAAAGCAGAGGAAGAACTTTTGCACAAGGTTGAAGTGTTGGAGGAAAAGCTCAACGACAAAGTACGAGCTTTCAGAGATAACATGAACACAACTAAAGAAAATCTCGCAAGGGCCCAATCAAAGGCTAAAGAGGTTGTTTCAGCCAAAGAGGTTACTGACATGTCTAGAGGTCCCTTCTTACCTGAAGATGTTCTCAAAGAACTGGAAGAGATGATCGCGTCAGATGTCACTATGACAATTTCTATGGATCTCATGGCTCTGAAAGCTACCGTGATACAAGGATCGAAGTTGCCAGAGCAAATGGCGCGCTTTGCCAAGTTGTCGTTGCCGCATGTTTGGAGAGAGACTCAGACGTTTCTGATTCCTGACAAAGACATTACGAACATTTTCTCCGATGGAAACTCAATATACGTTGCTTGCAAGAGGGGGATTTACAAGAAACTGTTGCCTCACGATGCCAACCCGTCCACTTGGATGAAGCTTCATCACAATTCTAGCATCAAACAGGTGGTAGATATGGCCATATCAATGAAGGACCAAACCTTCTCTTTCATTGCTGAAACCGACGCAGCTAGTATGCAACTCTTCACGTTGAAACTGAATGATTTTCCAACATCTCATGGACACGCCGCCCCCTTGACACCCTTTTTAACGGTCGCACCGTGCCCTCTGAACCCAAGTGCAAGAATCTCTGTTGATTCCCAGTCCTGCATCGTTGTTGCCAATAACAAGCCAGTCATGCCAAGTTTGAAACAGGCAACCTCACCCAGTTACGAATCGGCCAGCGAAATCAAGCGGAAACACACGACACCATCTGCGACAAATGTGAGACCAGTGGCAGAGGATAGTGGTGGAATTACCTTAAGTCTGACACTGCCTCAACAGCAGCACAGCTTCACTGGCACAACCCATATCTCTCAGACAGGTAAATATTGAACCATTAAAGTCATCTAATGTCATTGTTATTTCTAAAATATATAAAAGCCTGCCACATTCCTTGTAATGGATGCGTATTCATTTCCCCCCCCCCCCCCCCCCCACCGCTGCCATATCCAGAACTCAAGATTACCTTCATCTCGTGAGTTAAGACTTTTTTACATTTTACATAAAAACGCTTTAATAATCATAGAGCAACTTCAACAAATGGATTGGATTGGATTCGAAATAGTCACACCAACATACACGCCCACCCTCCCATCCGAGTATTGATGGACGTAATGTGTAGTACGTAATGTAGTATGAATCATTTGATATAGCAAGCTTTCGTTCAAGCTAATTCCTTGCGATGCCCTTATATACTAATACATTTTGTGTATTGTTTTCGTACTCATTATGAATGATATCACAAAATATGCTAGCTGAATATTTGATGAGTTGAAAAACTAAATTGCATAAGGTTATTAAAGTGTTCAGTTTTTTAGACATTGCTCTGTAATTCTTTCAGCTGTTAAAATCAAGCCTTTTGTTTCATATTGTTTTATTCTTACAGTATCTGATTTCGGCTGTGTCAAGTCTATAAGCCAGCCAGAAAGCGTACCCTTTCCTTTGGCTTCAAAAGGAAAGGAAACAAGACCGGGAATCCCAAAAACAGGATCATCCATCTTCACAGCATCCATGAAAATCTATAAGGGTAAACATGAGATACGCTCGTCTGGTTCCCCCTTCGGTAGTACTACTGTAAACCAAGGGTCTTCAGATCATTTCAAGGTTCCACTTGATAGGGTTCGAAGTCTCGCAGCCGCCAAGTCAGGTCAGTTGGTATTCCTATGCTGGGATAAGAAAGCCGTCATCATCACTGACAAAGACGGGAGAGTCCAGCATGAAATCAAGGAGCCTGGCAGGATGTACTTGTCCATCTCCTGCACAGAGAGTGACGCCCTCTACGTTCTGTCCGCCTTCTGGGGCAGCCACATCGTCACGCTCACCAAGCATTCCTTGCAAGATGGTGGTCTCCTCGAGTACATCATCGACGAACTCGACGTTTCAGCAAACTTTCAGTCAGACGAGTGGCCAGTCATTGGTAACTGTAGAGACGACCTCGTGATCATGCATACGGGGGAGGAGATTCGTGTCTACTCGGCGGAAGATTGGGATATATTAGATGACGAAGACGTCAATGACCAAGACCAAGATGCCGATAAGGATGAGGATGTTTAGGGTGATGAATAATGATTCATTGTTTTAATGAAGATAAAATCTAATGCACACAGAATATGGAAAAGTTTTAACAGGGTAATGGTTATAACAAGTAAACATTATATTTCTTGTATAAATATAATCAGATCTTATATTACCCCATTTTACCTTCAATATTTCAGAAATAATCGGTGACCAGTCACCAATTTTTACGTTACATGCATTATTCATATTACATTTCACAAGTATTGATTATGTTCAAATGCAACTTCGTTTAGCAAATCTGGCAATCATCAGAAAAGGGGATATCTCTTTCAAAGGACAAAGAACATTTTTTGTTTCAACCATATACTTGAAGATCTATCATTCTATACTTTCAGGGTTTGTAAATACAGCCAAGGAGCATCATGCGCTTTTAATGATATCAAAGTGAATTACCATCCATTTTCTCAAAGTGTAATTAGTATGATATTGCGAATGTAAATCATTGTAAAAATACATGTATATTTCACTTTAAAAGTCCTATGGAAACAAGGTTATGATGACTCTTTTCTAGGCACTGAATGCTACTATTCTCTTTTCCCATTCATTTATTATTCATTTATTGTATTTATTCATTTATTTACAATAGCCCTCTTCGATAATGCAATGAAATGTATATGCGGGACATCACAAAGTCAAAACATTGTACATATGTACATGGTATCACCCGATGAGGGGTAAGTTGCCCAAAGAGTTACAAGCAAACGCATTTCAACTGTCAAATATCTCATAGCCTGCCATGAGGCTGCATGCACGCTACCTATTGAGTGCCATGTGCGTGGAATGCAGCATTCGTAATAGCAGTTATTGTTCATGCTCATTGGGCTGTGCTGTGTGTTTTGCACTCGCCATTCATAGAACCATCGCGTTAATCAGATTATCTCCAAAACAACTGGCACAATGGGGATTAGCCCTGTGGCACGATAAGAGATATAGGCACTGAAATCACAAGTAATGTATTTATGTTTAATAGTCTGTCCTTGATGTTTATAAATTCACATACGCTCGATAATGTTGTAGTAAATAGTTTATTTTATCAGATTAGCCTCCTTATGTACATGAATATCTAGACTTTGATGAGAAAATCATTTTATGTTATTACATTTTAAAGTAGAATACCTCTATAACAAGATACCCTTTCTTCTTCAAAATTTTGATTTGGCTATTGCTCTTATATACAATGAGTAAAACAAATACATAGAAGTAAAACAGTTATCATGATTAGATTTTATAAAAACGAAAGAAATAATAGTTTGGAAGTCAGTTATTAAAGTGTTATGCCGAACTCGGACATATGATTAGAAGGTTATATTTTTGTTAGATATTTAACAAAAAGTAAGGGCACAAAACAAAGCTGTAATGTTATCGCAAGACTGATACCCATTCTTTGTGTATATAGTTTTATCAAGATTTCCACATTTTGTTTCGTTCATAAAACTGATTTCTTTATGCATTTGTTTATTTATGGTAAATATGTCTAATTGCAGATACGGAAAAAATGTAAAATATTTTGGATGAATGTGTAGGCCTATTCGAAATATCTATAGTTGAAGTATTTAATACAAGGGAGGGAGCAAACTAGCTAGATTTTTTTTAATTAAATCACTTTTAGTGGAGCCTAAATAGCGTGATGTAGTCTTTACTCATTGTTATTTCGCTAAATGATTTGAATTTTATAACATTTAGGGGAATGGGCAAATCCTCCGAAAATAATCCTTGGGACGTGCCCCCACCCCATTCCCTTTTCGGAGATCGCTGTCCCTCGTTTAAGGGCGTATCAATGTTTTTTCAGACAGAAACTATATTGGCCGTAACGTGTAAAAGTCATTTATGTATCTCAGAATATGACTTCCAATAGCCCTAATGACGAGTGATTGCGCGGTTTCTTATTACGAGCAGGCCTTTATTTCATCAAAGATACAGTGTGGGGTTTAGGGACTTGTTTCGGTTTGTTGATGTTATAGGTCTAGGGTTTAGGACTAATAGTGATCGATCTAGTGTTGAAATAGAGGTTGATAATTCGTCTAGTCTTGGACATTGACCGCGGAGCAATAGTTGAGGGAGCATGAGTTTATAAACAAGAAACAAAATCAACAAAGTCAGGTTTATAGCAGATCATTACTTTTTGTCATTCCTTTGTTGCAGAAATAAAGACTAACTAGATAAGTTCAACCAAATTACATTTCTCTCATGTCGTCTTTGTTTTATTGTTTTCATTTTATTTTAGATCAATGGACGAAATAACTTTGTTAATAACATAGCCTCCAAATGCACTGTAATTAAAAAAACGTGTACAATTTGAAGAAAAAAAGAACAAAAAAAAAAGAAGATTTTGGACAGGGACAATATTCTGAACAAACAGTCCCTGCAAATGTTTTTAAAAACACATTTCTTATAATGCTTCATACAGAGGGCGAATTGTTTATTACAAGCGTGGAAATGTTCTTTTAGGATAAATATCTGTCACTGAAAGGACCACATCATAAAACCAAATATAGCTGATAAAGAAAGAAATCATATAATATGTCAGAATGAGATAGAAAGAGGACTGAGAGAGAGAAAGAGAGAGAGAGAGAGAGAGAGAGAGGGGGGGAGGGTGAGATGGAGGGAGCGAGAAAGAGAAAGATAGAGAAGGAAAGAGAGATTTGTCTACCTATCGTTTTATCTTTCTGTATTCTTTTTTTTTATAAATCTTTTTATAGATCTGTCTTTGTATAAACAATTCTATCTTTTTCTATATCAGGACATTTACCCCCATGGACAATCATCCCCGGACATTCCCCCCCCCCACAGGACTGTAACCCCCTACTGTAACCCCCTGAAAATTAACCTCCTGGGAAATTAACTTTCAAGGACACCAACCCCGAGGAAAATTACCCCCCCCCCACCCCGTGGAACACTAACCCCACCCGCGAGGACAATTACCCCCCCCCCCCCCTTTCCAGGAAAATTACTCCTTACACTGTTTATTAAAGAGGAAGTCCACCCTCATAATAAGTTTGTTTAAATACAGGCTTTTTATTGGGGGGGGGTAATTTTTGAGGAGGTGCGAGAGCTCAGTTGGTAGAGCAGTGGTCTCGTAATCCGGTGACCCGGGTTCGAATGCAAGGCGATGCGCTAGTGCCCTTTAGTAAGGCATTAATCTTCATTACCAGGTCCGTCGGGGAGGACCTAAAGCCGTCGGCCGTCTGGTTGCTTACTAACAAGCATTTATGCTTCTTAGCACCACACAACCACATTGTCCATGGTGGGGGGGGGGGGGGGGATTGTGCTCGGGGTTAATTTTCCGGGGGTGATTGTCCAGGGAGTAATTGTCCTAGAACAATCTATTTCAACCTGTTGATATACCCATCAAATTTATCACAGTATCTTTTTCCGGTCCAAGGTTGGACTGCGGAGGGAAGTGGGGAAGGGGTGGAGGGAGGACCGGTGGTGAGATTGAACAGGGTGGTTAATTGCCGTTTGGTCTACAACCAGTTCTTCTACTACCAAATTTGTATATTCCCTAGTCTACACCCAGTCCGTTTATCCACATCGTCTAATAACAATGATCGGACGACATTAAAGCACTTGAGTGAGCAAAAGCAACTTGTGCGGAAAGGTGAAAATCGAGACTTGAAATTCGGAATTGGTATTTTATTCTGGCTGGTATCAGCAAAGTTACGAGTCGTGAAAAGGCTAATAGATATTTAATGTTCTGATCATGAGAATATTTAGGAAGAACCGGCGGTTTTTTTTTTGGTATGTTCTGACATAATATCATCAACATTGTTGTGCCTGACGTGCATAACTCACATCCTCCGAAGTATCCAAGAATAAATTTTAAAACACAACGTAATTAATACTCACAAATATTATTTCTCAACCAAGCATACAATTCTGATGGCAAAAACGAACCTCAACATGCCCTCAGAATATGCAAACAATGTTCCTCAGATAATTTGTCGATCATAAAACCATCATAATATGAAAAATTGTAAGTCTTTATACACGACTTTCAACTTTGCTGATACCATCGGATAGCAGTAAAAATTCTTCTCAAGTTCGGATTGTGCATGCACCCTTTCACAAAAGTAGCTTCTGCCCCTCATTCAAGCATAGAATATCATCAGACTTTTGTGATTGTATGTCTGTTGATTTGAGAGTGCCTCGATCGAGTGCCTCAACATGTATGAACTGACCTGAAAATATATATTCATTTGAGGAGCTTTTCTTTGACAGATGACAACTTTTATTGACGCACATTCATTAATATGATATAAACACAACTAAGACTTCATAGTATGAGTAAGAGTCAATGATTTAATTACACGAAATTTGATTTGATTACTTCTGGCAGAGGCATATGCTATTTTTCAAAGTTATACAAACAGTATTGCGATTCTTTTATAAAAAAAATAATAGAGATCGAAAGAAAACATTCATGAAGTGGAAAATGGGGAAGAAAAAATAAAGAATAAATAGTAAGCATAATTTTGAACTGATTTAAATAACAACAACGATATAGGTTGAAAATACAAACATGATGAATGTCGATTGATGGTTTTAATATCATATTGAATTAGCTGAAAAACGGTTTAAATATTAAGCCTATGATAATTATTATTACAATAAAACGAGCTAAAACGTTAATAATAGCAAAAACAAAGACAAAACAAGGTGGGAATCCCCTACAACCTTTGACCTTTGGCGAGCAAATGGCGGCGTTTACATTGCCTGTCACAGACAGACTCATGTTTAGTCTTAGCTGTACTGAACATCTAATGCAAAGTTGATCGATGAAAATGAAACGGTTACTGTATTGTGTCATAATTAATGCATCGCTTTATTAAGATAAAACCATCGGACATATACAGTTAAAAGCTGATCATCACTTTACAGAATTAGACGACATTTAGTGCTATACAAAAAATATTACTAGCTAAAACGAGTACTGCATACATTTACACGCGAATAACAGATGATTCACTTTGCATTAC